TACTATTACTACTACTACTACGATTACGACTACGACGACTACTACTACTACTACTACTACTACTACTACTATTATTACGACTACGACTACTACTACTACTACTACTACTACTACTACGACTACTACTACTACTACTACTATCACTACTATTACTACTACTACTGCTACTACTACTACTACTACTACTACTACTACTACTACTACTACTACTACTAGGAGCCATTTTGCAGATTTTGGGATCGATGCAATTCGGTGTGGTTTTGCTTACAGTTCGGCGCCCTCTTGCTTATCCTAACATAGTGCTCGTGCGCAGACCAAACTGAGACCAAGTCCAACTCTGGCACGTATGTTGGCTTCCAGAACCTCTGCGTTGACATAAGAGGTGTCACTTGGTCCTCACAGTCGTCTTAGTGTGAGGCTATCCCAAGCAGGTTGGGATTGGGCCCAGTTTGCTTTTCGCACTGGTTGGGATTGGTCCAAGTTGCTTGGGGTTGGGCCCAGTTGGTTGGGATTCGGCCCACATGCGGTTGCAACCCCCCCCGGGGGGGGTTGACGAAGCCCGAAACCCCTTGGGGGGGGGTTGGCGAACCCCCCCTGGGGGGTTTGCAGTGCGGATCCTCGACGACCTGCACGACGACGATTGCGACGACGATCGAGGTCCGAGGATTTCAGGAACGAGTCCCACCAGAGGACGCGCAGATTATGCTTGCCGCTTTCGATTCTGATCCGGCGTCCGCCCAGCCGATTTCCGACTCGATCTTGCTCGGCCTTGCCGAGTTTTGTTGATTTCGTTTTGGCAGCAGATTTCTGCCGATTCGATGTTTCGGTCGACCCGATCCAGCTTATCGATTCGATTATGGGGTTGCTTGGGTGTGGACCTGAAAGCCAGCGTGCAGGAGCATTGCTTAGAGCACGAGGGCGAAAGACGCGAACGAAAACACGCGCACACACACACACGCACACAGACACGCTCACGCACGCACGCACGCGCTCGCACTCGCACACACACACACACACACACACACACACACACACGCACACACATGTCGGCCGTCGCGGGCAAACCGCGCGAGCGCCCAGTAGTCAGAAGAAAAGGAAGAGAGAGGTCAGCGGCCGAACGTCCACAAGGCAGGGCGGCGGAGAAGCAAAGCAGAGACCAAGTCGCCCCGAATGAGGACAACAAGGGGCCGGCAAGACAACGGAAAGGAGGGGGCCAAGCAATGGGAGGAATATGAGGAGTTGGTTTACTGGTGTGTTGGTAGATTGGTGCATGAAGGTGGAGGTACGTTTGGACCCCTCCCTGCAGCCGTCTTCGTTGGCCGAGGGGCTGCAGGGAGGTCCTCGGCCCCCTCCATTGGCTATTGACGCCGTAAAGTATTGGTGTAATGGTGTTTTGGTGGGAGAGGGCGACCCCCGCGGCCCCTATGATGGCAGCCGCAGGGGGTGTGAGGCCTATGATGGTCCTCACTGGTGAGGCCTATGATGGTCCTCACCGGGGTGGGGGTGGGGGAAGAGGGCAGAAAGTCGAAGCGGATGTCCGGCAGCAACGTCCTGGGGGGACACCTGAAAAGGGGACTTAAACAACGTCTGTCCTCCGCCTATGTTCCAGAGGAACCCCGTTCAAAAAGCAGAGGCAGAGAGAGGGAGAGAAGAGAGAGAGGGAGAGAGAGAGGGAAAGAGAGAGAGAGAGAGAGCGAGGCAAAGACGAGGACAAATGTGCACGCCTCGGGGGGGGTCGGCCCCCGGACCCGGAAGATACGAAATACACAAATTTCGTATCACAAGGTAGCTGGCAGCGAAGCTGCATCATGGCACCTTGGGAACGTGCAGCGGCAGGGATGCACCACCTGGAGTGCGAAAGCGACACGTGGTGACGTCAACCCGGCCGAAGCCCAGTGACCAGAGGAGGCCCCCAGAGGCCGACAAGGGTCACAGGCCAGAGGTATCCACGACTTGTACCCCCCCCGCGGGCGCGATTTATTTTCTCCGCCAGCGCGGAGGGACCGGTACACCCAACAGCACGGAGATCCGACAGCGGATAGGCCGGTGCACCCAAAAAAACATGGATGGATCGGTACACCCAAAGGCACTGATTGGCTTTATCCCACGGGGTGGAGTACCCGCAGGGGCATACACCCGTAACCCACGACACACACACACACACACACACACACACGCACACACACACACACACGGCACACACACACACACACACACACACGCACACACACACGCACACGCACGCACGCGACCACGCACCCCGGGGGCACACGACGAAAAAGACACAGCAAGAAGAGGACGCCTCGAACCTCGGAGCTGCGGCCAAAAGTCCTAACAGGGGCACCTGAAACGGGATACATGAAAGAGGGAAGCGGCCTGACCGGGGGACCTGAAGCCGAAGGAAAACGACAGGGGGGGACGATCCAAGGCGGCCTTTGGACAGCTCTCGGCGAGGGCCGCTGCTCCGGACGTGTAGATTGGACGGCGGCTATACCCATCCATGAAGAAAGGCGGGGGGGAGGGGAGGAGGAGGAGGAGGAGGAGGAGGGGAGTAGGCCCAGCCACACACCTGCGCCCCAAGTGGCAGACGGAGGTGGCTGGGAGGGTTTTACATACCCGTCCTTGGAGAGCTCGGCTTAAGGGCGGGGAGCGGGAACGACCTCATGAGTGACGCCGCGGCGGCACATGTGACACCGCGGCGGCACGGGTCGAACCGTCACCCTTGGTGCACTGGTGCGCTGGGTTGGCAACTGACGCCACAGAGTAATAGATTATTGACATTGACAGGCACCGTCAGCCGGCAGGGGATAAATCCCGTTCACGGCCCCATGGAGGAATATGAGGAGTTGGTTTATTGGTGTGTTGGTAGATTGGTGCATGAAGGTGGAGGTACGTTTGGAGGCGAGGCGAGGACCGAGGTGCAACAGCGGACAGCCGAGGGAGGAGACGGACAGACGCGAGGGGCACGGGCCGACCGACGGGGGAGGAGAAGCCGAGGGGAAGGAAGGAGACACCACACACACACACACGCAAGGGGAAGGCCAGGCACAAAGAGTGGAAGGAGCCAGCCGAGGAAGGAGGCGAGAGGCGAGGAGAGGACACAACGCACAGGCACGGGGGACAAGGCAGGCCACAGGGTGGCTGAAACCTGCCCTGCGGGCGGCGCACTCGGCGGCCGTGCCTCGGCAGGGGGGGGCGGCGGAGAGGGAGGATTGCAAAAAAACAAAGGATTGCAAAAAAACCTTGCAAAAAAACCCTGGATTGCAAAAAAACCCTTGTTTTTTTTGCAATCAAGGGTTTTTGTTGCAATCCTTCGTTCGAGGAAGGAGGCACAACCTACTAGCCTACATCGGCCCAAGGTAACCTCTTGCGAAGCAGACCCCTTACCGCTCGCAGCCAAACTGCCGCTGCAAGCCGAACAAAGTCTCCGTCTCCGCGAGGCCGCACGCATTCCTCGCGTCACCTCACTCTCTCGCTCAGGGCTCGGCCGGCACGCGTGAAGGTAGTATCTCTGCTGCAGCTTCTGGGCGGGCCGCTCGAAGATGACCTTTCCGCATTCGCCCCAGTCGTCGGCCTGCCGCAGCTGGTTCTCCACGCGGTGCAGCGCCGCGGTTGAAGGTCACGGAGATCAAGAGACCGCCGGGCCGCAGCATTCCCGTGCGCCTCGCGGAGCGCTGCGGCCATCGAGGGCTTGTTCTGCGCCACGGCGTCGAGCGTGCCTGTGTCGATTAAGACGTCGAACGACTTCGCGAGGAAGTCCAGTGCCAAGGCGTTGGCGTACTGCCAGCTCATGCGCGGCGCGGACGAGGAGAGCCTCTGGCGCAGCTTCTCAGGCATATTTCCGCTGATGTCCACGTTGAGGATGTCCTCGAAGCCGTACCTGTACATTTGCTCGGACATGTTGGAGTTCCCGCACCCCAGCATCAGTATCTTAGACTCCGAGGTTATGTACGACTTCAGCAGATCGCCGATCTGCTTGCCGGGTCTCCTCTCCTCCTCGCCTTCTTCGCTCTTCTGCAATTGCGGTTGCACCTTCTCCACGGCGGTGTCCCAGCTCCCGTACCAGTCAAAGCGTTCCTCTTCCGAGGTCTTGTTGCAGCAGTCGTCCCAGTAGACGGGGCTCGCGTGCGTGAAAGACCTGTTGAGCTCCTGGACCTGCTCGTCCGTCAGATTCGCGCACTTTTTGGTGCAAGGTGCCCGGACCACGCTCACCATCGGCAGCAGGTCGCGCGAGATGCTGTCACTGCAGCCCTCCAGCTCGGCCTCGATGCTAGTGAGCTCCTTGTTGAGCTCCTGGGCGGCCTCGCCGCCCAGCGCACTCGCAATGTTCGGCGTGCTGCCCAGCTCCGCCATCTCCTGCAGCCGCAGCGCCAGCTCCGGGAAGCGCTCCGCCCAGGGGGGCCGCCCCTGCCCCTCCCGCCGCCCCTGGCCCTTCTTCGGGCTGGACTCCTTCGGGGCCAGCAGCTGGCCCGCGAGCAGTCGCTGTTGCTCTTCCTCTTCCTCTTCCTGGCGGCGGCGCCGACGCCCCCCGAGGCGGGAGGCTGCTCCGCCGGGCCGCCGCCAGCCTTCCGCTTGCAGCCAGCCGTCGCCGCCGCCGGGCCCCCGCGGGGCGCTCCCGGCCCCTCCTTGAACCGAGGGGGGGCTACGGAGCACACACACACACACACAAGCACGGACACGAGAGACACACACACACACACACACACACACACACACACACACGCACGCACGCACGCACGCACGCACGCACGCACGCACGCACGCACACACCACGCACGCACGCACGCACTCACGCACGCACACATACGCAGAAAGACACACACACACACACACACACACACACACACACACACACCACGCGCGCACACACACACACACCACGCGCACACGCACACACACACACACACACACACGCGCATCCACATTCCATTCCCCTCCGGCATCGTCCCCATGCTCCCCCTGACTACCCCCTTCCCCACTTCATCCCCATCCTCCTCGAGGCAAGCATGCTCGCCGGCCTTATGGCGCACCTGACATACTGGCAGACCTTGGCCCACGCCCGCGGCGAGGGACGCAGTCGCCTAACCGACCGTGCGATGCAGACGATGATCGCGAGCGCGAAGGAGACTTCCTCCCCTCCTCCTAATTATCCCCTTCTTGTTCACGTTTACTCTTCCTGCTCCTCACCATCTTGCCTTCGTTGCCCCGCTTACAGACGGTGGAATGCACCTGTGCGGAGGCGAGAGTCGACGGGCCCGCGGAGGAGCCAGCGCCCCGTGTTCACGAGCCTGGACTGGAAGCTCAGCTCAGGAATCTGGCAGGGGGCCCTCAGAAGAGCCCGAAGGCCAGGTGCCTCCAGCAGCACCGTGTCCAGCGGCCTGCGGCAGATCCCCGGCACCGTGCCAACCACGCACCTCCGTGTGGCGACCGTCGGAGCACCGCCCAGAGGGCCGCCGCATGTGACGCCCGTCGCCGCCACCTCCTTGGAGAGCGCCCCGTGCTGCCGGGGCCGCCTGGAGGCCGCTCGGGGCGCCTGTGTGGCAGTCTTCGGGGTCCCTCGGGGCCCTCGTTGGCCGTCTTGGGGCCCCCGTGGGCGGCCCGGGGGCCCTACTTGGTGGTCGTGGGGCTCGCCCTGGCTGTCCAGAGGGGGTCTCCTGGGCCCGCCGTCGGGCCGTCTTCGGGCAAGTCCTGTGACGTGTAGGGGCCCCCCTTGGGCTGGAACTGGTCCCTCCAAACGCCCTCTCGGGCAAACGTGGGACCCTATTGTGGCCGTCTGGGGGCCCGCTTGGAGCTCTCTGTGGGCTCCTCTGGGGTTTCCGAAGACCGCAAGTAGACCGATCTTCGACCAAAGAGCGTGGAAAGCGAGGGGGGGTACTGAGGAAAAGCATCCTTTAGTCTCTCGAAGGCCTCGGGGTGGAGGAGGAAAAAGAGGAGGAGGAGGAACATGAGGAGGAGGAGGAGGAGGAGGAGGAGGAGGAGGAAGACCCTGGAGTCCAGGGCCCGTCTCCCACAGTGCCCGTCTCCTTCGTGTTAAGATAGGCACATCCCTCACAGTTACAAGTCCGGTCCTGCACTGGACACGTGAGGAAATTGAAATAAAACAAGCCATGATACCAGAGAAAAAAAAACAATCATTTTTTTGGGGGGGCCGTAGGGCTATAGGGCTACAGGGTTATATGGGCTCTTGGGCGCTATATGAGCTCTTGGGCGCTATATGGGCTATATGGCTATATGGGCTATAGGGCTATAGGGCACCCCCGGGCACCTGGGCACCCCCGGGCACACCCGGGAACCCGGGCACCCGGGCAACCGGGCAACCTGGCACCCGGGCACCCGGGCACCCGGGGGCACCCTGGGGCACCCGGGCGTGCGGCGACAATCGGCGGCAAACCTAACCTAACCATATGGATCCGCTAGGACCCCTACTGAGGCAAGCTCTGATTGGGGATAAACATCAACTTTGGGCCCTTGGCGCGGATTTCTTGAATCCGCGCTGGGGACCCCTGGCGGCGCCTCCAGCGCCGCCCTTGGCGCGCTCCGCGTGCCAGGGAGGGGGGTCCAGCGCAGATCCAAGAAATCCGCGCAGAGCGCAGAAAGTTTATACTTATGGCATTTGTTTCATCTCCGAGCACAGCCACACATACACACGTACCACAACACGCACCACAACACAAATCAACAGCACGGCATCACACCACACAGTTGAGCGAAGCACGACACCACCACCACACCCCCACACACGCGCGCGACTGCCATCATTCAGACGCCGTCCGTCAGCGAGACGAGGGACCAGAGAGAATTCTCAGCTCGCGCGCTGGATGGGTGTAAAAGCATCGGCGCAAACATGTAAACTGTCAGAGCTCCGCGCGGATTTCGTGGATCTGCGCTGGCCCCTCCCTAGGGCGCCAGGGAGGAGGATCTGGCGCAGCTCCAGACATCCGCGCGGATCTCCGGCGAAGCAGGTCGACACAGCGCACGCTTTGTGCACAGGTGTGCGACGTGGGCAAACGGTGCCCCCTCGGTTTCTGCCCACTGGCTCGCTGAGGAAAAAAAATCTGGCGTCCTTCGTCCTTCCTGGGGGAGTCCTGGGAACTTCTCGTCTCAGCGGCTGGATCCGCCTGGAATGAAGTGGGGCCTGTCACTCTACAGGAGGAATATTTTAAAATAGTCAAATAGTCTGGAAAGTATTTTTGAAGTATGGTTTGAACCATTTTTGAATATGCTTTGGCTACTTTTCATTTTTCGTCCAAAGTCCCCCTGTGGGGGCGACATGCCCGACCTAAGCCTGGAAACACGTGCCAGGAGTCCTGGAGTCGCTTCCGAGCGGACTCGGGCTCGCGATGCCCCCACGGGGGCGGCAGCCCAGGGCTGCAGGGGCGACCCAGTCACCTAGTCAGGCCACCAGCAGTAGGTCGGGCATGTCCTCCTACAAGGGGATTTTGGACGAAAAATTAAAAATATTCGAAAAATATTCCGAAATTCTAAAAATAGTAAACAAATCGTCCTCATATCATTTTTTACTATCTCTGAATATTCCTCCTGTAGAAAGACAGGCCCGACCTAACACCGGCAGCCGAGTCCATGTCAGCCACGCGCAAAGGGGGTGGTAGGGGGAGGGGGGAAGGCCTCTCAGAAGCCCCCTGCTTCTTAGGAGGCGCGCGCCTTGTCTACAGATGGAAAGCCGGCGCCTTCTGAGAAGCAGGGGGCTTCTGAGAAGCCTTCACCCCTCCCCGATACCCCCCCCACCTGCGCGCCGCCAGTCTTGGGCGCCATCGAGGATGTACGGAGGGCGGCCAAATTCGCAGAGAGGTACCCTGCCTGGCGGGAGGCCCGCCGTTGTCTCAGCCTCGGAGCGGCCTAGGGCGAGGAGCGGCGCGAGGCGGGCCCCTCCTGCGAGGCTGGGGGCGCTCTCCTTCGTGCCGCGTCGTCCTGGGATGCGGGCCCGCCTCCGATAGGGCGGGATAGGCATGGGGTTGAGTCGGGCATGTCCTTCTACAGGAGGAATATCCCAGAACAGTCACACAAAAACATACTACGGGGACGAGTGTTCATGCTTCATTTCTCTTCCAGAACGGGCCTGCAGGAGGACGTGCCCGGCCTGAGCAAAGGGGGGAGGACACGCAGGCCTCCCCCGTCGCCCGTGGACCGCCGCTGGGGCCCGATGGGGGCTCGACCCGCCCAGGGGAGGTATGGATCTGCGATCGGGGGCACATCGCCGGTGCATCGCCGATTCCGGGTCGATGTTGCCCCCCCCCCATGCGGTTCCTCCTGCTCTTCCTTTTCCTGCTCCTATTCCTGCTCCTCCTCCTCCTCCTCCTCCTCCTCCTCCTCCTCCTCCTCCTCCTTCTCCTCCTCCTCCTCCTGTCCCCAGTCGGGCCCCGGGGGCCCGGGGGCCCACCCAATCGGGGCCCGGGGGGCCCGGGGTAGAGGTCCGAGTCGGGATCGCAGGTTCCGGCGATCGCAGACATGGAGGTTTCCGACGGGGACGCCGCGCGCAGAGGGGGGGGTAGGGGGAGGGGGGGTAGGGGAGGGGGGTAGGGGGAGGGGGAGGGGGGGTAGGGGGAGGGGGGGGAGGGGGGGGAGGGGGAGAAGGGGGAAGGCTTCTCAGAAGCACCCCTGCTTTTGAAAGGCGCGGGCCTTCTCTGGAGATGTAAGGCCAGGGCCTTCTAAAAAGCAGCCTCCTTCTGAGAAGCCTTCACCCTCCCCCTACCCCCTTGTGCGCGCCGCCAATCCTCAGGCGATCGCAAACATGGATCAAGGGGGCGCGGATTAGCGTCGGGTCCCGTTTCCGTTGGAATTCGCTGATTTCCGCCGCCGAACGAGGCGGCACCGGCCGCATTCTGGGGAGGGCACCTCCCCCGATCCATGGATCCTCCGCCAAATCCATCGATCGCTAATGCATGCTTGCGCGCCCCGGACATGTGCCAGTCCCCCCCAACCGTTGCCCCTCACTCATGCCGTAGACTCCCATCGCTTGGAGCCAGCTGGGGGTCTGAGGTGGACCAGCACTAGTTCCGACGAACAGGACAGGAGGAAGAGGTTCGAGGTTCTGGACCTTGGATTCGATGTTTTGCATCTTTCGGCCACCCTGGGGCCGTTTTCGGGCCCGGGGACTGCCAAACATTGATCCGCGGTGAGAAGCTGCATCAGATGGACTCCGGGAGAGAGCCAGGGACCGACTCTGAAGAGACTTGCCCCTAGCCCGAGTTCTTTCCCGATTCTCTCGGGGCCCAACCAGACCAGCTCTGCCCTCCTGGCCGCCTCCAACGAGCTCTTGTCAACTTTGGGGTCAGCGGGGAAGGCGGACGCCAGCGCGGTCGATCAGCCGGCGGGCCGCGCAGGCCAGGGGCACATCGGACAAGAGGAAAAGAAGCGGGGATGTCTTGGATCGGCGCCGGAGCCCCCATGGCGCGCCAGAGAGGGGGCCCAGCGCCGATCCACGGAGTCCGCTCGGAGCTCCGGCAGTCTGTGTTGTGTAGTTGTTCTTGTTGCTTCCTCAAACACACAGTGCAGCGTGGTGGGGCGAGGAGCGGTGCAGGCTTTCGCAGGCCTCGCCTTCGAAGGGCAGAAATCGGCCCGCGCTGTGTCGCGATGGCCCAGGGGCGGAGCGGGCGCTACGCAACAGTAAGATCGGGGAAGCGCGAACCCGGAGTATACAGCGCGCAGATTGGCGGCGGGTGCCGCTTCCGTAAAAGAGTCGGCGCGCTCCATCGCCAGATCGGCCGGCATTGGCCTCATGTTTCGGGGGGTTACTTTCCCCAATCCTTGGGGGCCCCCAAACGGGGTGGTGACCACACCGTGCGGTGAGTCGGTGGGGATTTGGGGTCACCGCACGGGCGACTGGGGCCTCCGAGGTCCCAAAACCGTGTGGTGACGGACCTTGCGGTGAGGTCTTTGTGGATTTCGAGGTCAACGCCGGCTCTGTCACCACACGGTGTTGGGGCCCCCAAAATCCGCGGATCTGGCGCCCACGCGCCTAATCCGCGGATCTGTAATCCATTATGCCGCGTGCCCGACAAAGGCAGAGATGGGGCCGCGCTGGGTCACGATGCACACGAGGTCAGCTCGCGCCAGCTGGAAAAGGGTGGGGTCCGAGGTTCCGAGGCCAGTGACCATTATGAGGAATCTTTCGTTTCTCCTTGTCGCGTTTCGCTGGAGACGCTGCGCGGCCACGCTCAATGGCAATGCCCCCACGGAAGCACAGGAAACATCATGCGTAGTCCATGGCTTCTGTCACAATGATGATTTGTTTCGCCATCATAGCTACAGTAACCATTGTCGTGCTTATAATTACTGGTAGCCTCATCTTCGTCACCGTCATTTTCTCGTGAAAGTACCCCGCACCTATTGGTCCTTCGTGCGGAGGAGTTTTGGCAGTCGTTCGAGGAGGAGCACCGGGACACCCCGACCGGCGTCAGTTTGGTCCTCCCGTGCTTGATGCTCGCCGTGAAGGCGGGGACTTTCTACCTGAGCTTGCGGGAGCAGGGGGATGTCGCCGAAGCCCCCAGGTTCTGTCAGCGTTGTTGGCATTGCGGTGGCACTTGTTGTTGTTGGTGGTGGTGGTGGTGGTGGTGTTGTTGTTGGTGTTGGTGTTGGTGTTGGTGTTGTCGTTGTACACGGCGTAAGAAGCCCTTATTATTCCGTATACACGGAATAATAGGCCGCGATTACTCCGTATATCCAATACACGGAGTAACAAGCCCACGGTGTAATAAAGCTTTATTATTCCGTGCATGCCGACACCAGGGGGTGTCGCTGGTTTGTTGTTTTTGTTGTTATTGTTGTTGTTGTAGCCACTCGCTGGCGCCCGCCCCCCCCCTGGCGCAACGCAACGCAACGATTCTACCCCGCGCCCTGAGGCTGCATGCGAGTCCCATGGGGTCCTCTTGGACCCTATGGGATCCAATGGGAGCGTACAGGAATCTTAAAGAGTCTGATGGGATTCGTAGAAGGGCCCTAAAGGATCCAATGGATTCGTATCGGAGTCCCACAGGATCCTATGGGATTCGTATGGGAATCCAGTAGGATCCGATGGGAATCATATTGGCGTCCTATAAGATCCTCTGAGATTCGTATAGGAGTCCGATAGCATCCGATGGGATTCATATAAGAGTCCTATAAGATCCGATGGGGTTCTTCGTACAGGAATATTATAGGGTCCATTAGGATTCGTATAGGAGTCCTTGTAGAATCGGATGGGATTCGTATAGGGGTCCGATAGGGTCCGATGAGATTCGTATAGGAGTCCTATAGGATCCTAGGGAACTCGTATAGGAGTCCGATCGGATCCTATGGGATTCGTATAGGAGTCTTATAGGATCCGATGGGATTCGTATAGGAGTCCGATGGAATCCGACGGGATTCGTACAGAGCCCGATGGGATCCGATGGGATCCGCACAGGAGTTCCATTGGATCCGATGGTGTTCGTATGGGATTCGTATAGAATCCTACGGAGTTCGTATAGGATTCGTATAGGATCGTATGGGATTCGCGTAGGAGTCCAAGAGGATCTTATGGGATTCGTGTAGGAGTCTTACAGGATTTTTACGGGATGTGCATAGGAGTCGTACAGAATCCGATGGGGTTAGTAAAAGGGTTCTATGGGATTCGCATGGGGTTTCTTATAGGATCCGACGGGGTTCGTATAGGGAACCCATGGGATCCGATGGGACCCGTATGAGAATCGTATAGGATCCTACGGGACTCGTATAGGACCCCGATAGGATCCGATGGGAGTCGTACAGGAGTCTTATAGGATCCGCTGGGACTCGTATGGGGGTCCTAGAGGATCCGATGGGATTCGTGTCGGAGTGCTATAGGTCCCTAAGGGATTCGTATAGGAGCTCGATAGGACCCGATGAGATTCGCATGGGAGTGTCGTAGGACCTGCCCAACACGGAAGACCCATTGGACCCGACGGTTATCAGGAGCCCACCGGATCCGATTAAGAGTCCTATATGGTCACATGGGAGTCGTACTATTACTACTACTATTACTACTACTACTACTACTACTACTACTACTACTACTACTACTACTACTACTACGACTACGACTACTACTACTACTACTACTACTACTACTACTACTACTACTACTACTACTACTACGACTACTACTACTACTACTACGACTACTACTACTACTACTACTACTACTACTACTACTACTACTACGACTACGACTACGACTATTACTATTACTATTACTATATTACTATTACTATTACTACGATTCAACTACGACTATGAGCGCTACTATTACCATTACTATTACTCCTACTACAATGACTACTACTACTACCACTACTACTACTACTACTACTACTACTACGACGACGACTACTACTACTATTACTACTACTACCGACTACGACTACACTACGACTACTACTACTACTACTACCACTACTACTACTACTACGACTACTACACTACTACTACTACTACTACTACTACTACTACTACTACTACTACTACTACTACTACTACTACTACTACTACTACTACTACTACTACTACTACTACTACTACTACTACTACTACTACTACCACGACTACTCTGGATACTACGCTTACCACTACGATTCATACTAGTTCTGTTACTAGCATTATGAATATTTCGATTACGACTCTTATTTCTACTACTACTACTACTACTACTACTACTACTACTACTACTAATATTACTATTAGTCCTACTACTACCACTACTGCTACTACTACTACTACTACGAATACTATTTTTACTGCTACGACTCATACTAATTGTATTACTATGATTAGTGCTGCGCGTATGACTGCTAGTTCTACTTCTACTACCAGTACCATGATTACTACCACTACTAATATTACTGCTACTACTACTGTTTGTACGATTACTACTGCTACTTTGAAGACGGTTACCACTACGACTATTATTATTACCTTTCCAACTACTACTACTACTACTACTACTATTACTACTACTACTACTACTAATAATACTACTACTACGACTACCAGCACTACGACTACAAGCACTTCATATCACTGCAAATTCTACCTTTTCTGCAATTACTACTACTACTACTACTACTACTACGGCTACGACTACGACTACTACAAGTACGATGACCATTACTTCTACTTCTACCCACTACTACGACTACGACTACCACAACTACGATTACCTACTACGACAGCTACTACGACGACTTCTACGACCCCACTATTACCATTACTACTACTACTACTACTACTACTACTACTACTACTACTACTACTACTATCAATCGTACTGTTATTATCACTACTACTACTACGACTACTACTACTACTACTACTACTACTACTACTACGACTACGACTACTACTACCACGACTGCTGGCACTACTACTATTACTATTGTCCCTACTCGTGCTACTCTTACTACGCCAATTACGATTGGTACTACGACTGTTACTTCTACTACTACTACTACTACTACTACTACTACTACCACTACTACTACTACTACTACTACTACTACTACTACTACTACTACTACTACTGCTGCTGCTGCTACTACTACTACTACTACTACTACTACTACCCATGTTACTTACACTACTCTTGATACGGCTACTACTACTACTACTACTACTACTACTACTACTATTGCGAAGGCCTTACGGCCGTTGCCGCCGACCCTGAAGATGACGAAAGACAACACGAGGGGGGGGGGGCAGGAGGAGGAGGAGGAGGAGGAGGCGGAAGGGAGTAGGAGGAGGAAGGGTGAAGGGGGAGGAGGAGGAGGCCTTATGGATGTTGGTTGGGATCTCGTGGTTGACCTCTCGGGGGCGTCTGGAAGGCAACTTGAAGCCTCTTGGGGGCCGTTGTGGGGCCTCTTGGGGCCTCTTTTGGGCCTCTTGGGGCTTCCGGAGGCCGTCTTCGGCGCATCTTGGGGGCGTCTTGGCGCCGCTCGGGGGCCTCTTGGGGCCTTTTGGGGGCCTCTTGGGGCTTCCCGGGGGCCTCTTAGGGCGGAAGTCTCGAATTCTCGGTTCCTCGTCCCCCTCTTGGCCGTTTCTTGGGCCCGTCTTGGGGCCCTATTGGGCCGTCTTGGGCGCCTCTTAGGCTGTCCTGGGGCCTTCTTGGGCCGTCTTGGGGCCCTCTTGTAGGCCTCTTGGGGCGCTCTTGGGGGCCTCTTGGGGGCCTCTTGGGCCGTCTTGGAGTGTCGGAAAGCCGAAAAGGCGAGAAGGCCAAAATCATTCAAAAACCGATGTAAAATTGACGATTTTGGCGCCTGGGGCCCTCTTGGGTGTGCTCTTGGGGCTCTCTTGGAGCGTCTTGAGGGCCTCTTGGGCCGTCTTCGGGCCGTCTTGGGCGTCTTGGGCCATCGTTCGTCGAGTCGAGGCCCTCTTGTACCCTTTTGGGGGTGTCTTCTGTCGCTTTTGGCTCGTCTTGAAGCTTTTCTGAGCTCCGGGACCCCCCGGGGAGGATGCGTATCTGGGTGGCGACCCCCCCCGCGCGGAGCCTGACGACGACGGCGTGGAGGAGCTCGTCGCGGCCGTCCGCGCTGACATCGAGCTGATCGAGATCGCGGGCTACACGCTGCAGCAGGCCCTGGACAGGTTCCTGACCACGCTGACTGGGGCGCCCCTGGCCCCCCCCGAGGCCGGCCCCCCCCCGGCTGGCGCGCCCAAGGGCGCGCCCGCGGCGGCTCCGGCGGAGGCTGCGGAGGATGCGCGCGCCATGGCCCGCGACCTGGTCACGCGGCTGTCCAGCGCGGCGGCGGGCGTCAAACCGGCCATCCCGGGCTCGTCGGTGAGCTTCGACGTCCAGTTCAAGCTCACCGTCCCGGACGCGAGAACGGTGGCGGAGAGGCTGCGGGACTTCCACGGGCCCGCCGGGCCGCCCATCCCGGTGCAGATCCTCGAGGAGGAGGCGGGCCGCCCCTGGCGCCGCCAGGCGGCGTCCGCCTGGAGCGCGGAGAAGGGCGGGGACAGCCGCCTCTTGGTTTTGCGCCTCCGCATCCCGTGCCGGTCTTCGCTGAAGAAGAACACGGGGGCTTCCGCGCAGTGGTCGCCGACCACGAACCAGGTCGTCGTGAAGGCCGTCAAGCTCAACATCACCGAGTACGCCGCGCGCTGGGTGGCAGCGTTCGGGCCCGTGAACCAGGTGAGCCCGTCGCCGGGCTCGTTCATCCCAACGGGGGCGGCGCCGCCGCCAGGCCAGCCGTCCGTGGCGGCCCGGCTGCAGCGGGGGGCAGCGGCGGCGAGGCGCCTGGGGGCGGACGCCGCAGGCCCGGCCGCTTAGCGGCCGTGGCGGCCGCCCCGCCCACCAGCGCGTGGCGCCGCCGTCGCGGGGCCTTGGCTTGGGCCAGGCTCACGGCGCGGGGGTGCGGCGCCGCGGGGCCCGGCGCGCCCCTCCGGCCAGGTGGGCGCGGAGGTGGCGTGGGCCGTGGCGACTTGTCTAACTCGAGTTCGTGCAGTGCAGGGTGCGCATCGCCGCCGTCGGCCGGCGCGGGGCGTGCAAGGCGCCGGGGGAGCCGGAGCTTGGGCCAGGCTCATGGCGGCGCGGCGTGCCCGCTGGCCCGGCGGCGCGTCGCGCGGCGGGCGCTCTCTGCTGCCGGGGGCCGCAGGGGTGGTGAGCCAAGGCTTGGGCCGGGCTGACCGGGCGGCGCGGCGGCGACGGGGGGCGCCCGTGGGGCGACGTGGGGGCGCAGTGCGCGGACGCGGCACTCGGAGAAACGGTGTCCGCCTGCCCCCCGCCTTGCGCCGCCGTCTCGCCCCTGCGCTCCCCCGCCCCGGCCTCCTCTGCTGCGTCGCCGGCGCCCTGGCCCGGGCTCTCCGGGTCGTTGCCGCCGGGAGAGGCTGGGGGGGATCCCTGGAGGTCCTTCGCTTCTTAAAGATAAGAAGCGGAGCTTCGCTTCTTAAAATAAGAAGTGAGATCTATATGCATGCGAGTAGCGTATGATCAGCCAAAACGGCTTGAGCCAAAATGGTACCGCAGCGGATGCCGCAGTGGATGTCTTGAGCCAAAATGGCTACGCGAGAGGACAAGAAGGAGGGAGGGAGGGAGGAGGGGGAGGAGGGAGGTCCTCCCTCCTCCTCCTCCCCTGCACCTCCCTCCTCCTCCTCCTCCTCCTCCTCCTCCTCCTCCTCCTCCTCCTCCTCCTCCTTCTCTTCCTTCTCTTCTCCTCCTCAGTCTCGTTCGTCTCCTCGCCCTCCTCTCCCCACCCGCGGGTTCTGGCTCGCGCTCCTGCGTCGGGGAGGTGGTCAGCACGTAGCCGCGGGGCGCGGGTGGGCCGAGGGCGCCCCTCGTCGCCGCCGCCGTCACCACCGCCGCCGTCTTTGTCGTGGATCCACGACAAAGACGCGGAGGGAGGAGGAGGGTGGGAGAGGAGGAAGGCGAAAGAAGAACAAATATCTTCGCTCGGACGCAATGCTTGGCAATGCTTGGTGTCGGCGGCGGGCCCCGCGCCGCCGTGAACGCGGAACCCGTGCGGAGGAGCTAGAGGGGGCGAAGGGAGATCATTAATGATAGGAAGTCGGTAGATCGATGGGGGGGAGGCGGACACTGGTATCACTATACAAACCAGTGTCTCGATCAATCACCGAGCGCTCGCTTCCCAGGCTTGCCGATCACTTTTGACCAAAACGCGAAGAAATGGTACGACCAAGTTGATCTGTGCAGTGTTGCTGCAATATCAGCTGCAGTGCCATTGGCGCTCTCGTCCGTGAAGGTTGCCTGTTTGCTCGGCCTCCCCATGAATTTGCTCCTGGGGGAGAGGATCGCAAAGAATCAAGCGGCGTCCCATGGTGTCCCGAGTTCGTTTCGGACCCTAGGGCTGCGGTGGGTGTTAACAAATCGTGCCCCACTCGATCGTGTTCCCCCCCCCCTGTGTCCTCCAGGCCATGTGTAGGCCCAGATGTTGCTTCGGTAGAGGGTCGTATTTACACACAGCCATGTACCTGTTGAACAACTTTAGGCAACCTAGCATATCCTCAGGATCGAAAAAAAACAAAGGACGCCAGAGGAGGAGGGGAGGAGGAGGAGCGGAGAGGAGGGAGGAGGAGGACGATGAGGAGGAGGAGGGAGATGAGGAGGAGAAAGGAGAGGAGGAGGAGGAGGAGGAGGAGAAGGAGGAGGAGGAGGAGGAGGAGGAGGAGGAGGAGAAGAAGAAGCGGAGGAGGGGAATGCCCCGTTCCTGCACTTCGAGTGTTCGCATTGGTCTTGTATTGTTCCTGAGTATAACCATGAGTTTTAGTAAGGCGTCCCCTGCTTTTTTTCAAGCCTGTTTTATCGGCTGGCAGCTGGTACTTGTCAAGCAAGTGACGGCAAAATCGAACAAGTTGTCTGCATTCGGCAGCTTTTGATCGCACCATATATCTGTACTCCTCGCCCATGTTGTGAGACGTCCAATCTGATATCTTCGAAAACCGATACTCGGGGTCAATGGTGGATTGAGCGCTGTACCAGTTCATGAGTTCGGTTCGTATGATCAAGCAAGAGTTTTCCACCAGTTCTTCCTTGTTTGTTCTGCCACCTTGCCCGTCAGAAATTTTGAAAGCGTCGCACAACGCCAAAGTCCATAGCACCGCTGCGCAGTATCTCTGGTATATTCCCAAGTTCAACGTATGTAAAGGATCTATAGCAAGTACTTCGATACCTACACCTGTAAACAAGGAGAACAACGGGTTCCTGTGATGCGTCCACAGACCAGGGTGCCATCTCCAAAAAAGAACTCTACATGGAAATGAATCTATCAGACTGAAATCGCCGACGTCATGCAACTCATCGCTTGGTTCAAGGCGATCGCCTACTCGCAATCCCAAGGCCTCCACTGGACGTATTAAGGCCCTGCCACGACCGCCAAATTGAGCTTGCCGTTTTCGTTTGTAGTACCTGAGCGACGCCAGCACTGCAGAGTGCACGGCTTTAGTATCGAGTGTGACCCAAATCTCACCGAGCTTGCAATTATCCAAATATTTTTCTGTTGTCTTCAATTCCCATGGCCAATTATCTACAGTCACGCCCTGCTGCTCGTGCCAATGTTCATTAGATGCGAAGCAAAACATGCATGGGGCATCAGCGCTTGACCACGAAGGGAGCCCCAAGCTAACAGCGAACTCGTTCCAATCACCCTTTAATAACACAACCGCACCTCTGACAATTGAGTTGCCAGCTTCGGACTCTCTGGAAAAGTCTGAGTCCTTCCAATCTTGGCCATCGTGTCGGCATGTGGGCATCAGCCCTTTGGCGAGGGCCTGCAACGACCAGTCTAATGTCGAGAACAAACAATGTAAAGAACACCACTTCCTGCAGCCACAAGCGCACATGAACGATTTCCGCACGGCCATGCATAGATGTCTTTTTTCTGTGAGCAAGTTGTATACCCATATTCCCAGAAAGCCGTCGTGTTTATTGAACGGCACGCCGTCCAGGTAGAGCGCCAAGGGTAGCACTGTGTTTGGTGGGCTAGAGCGCACGACTGGATGTTTGAGGTAATTGTCAGCCCATTCTTTATTTTTGATGCTTGCGTGAAGTTCCTGAAGTATCTCTGGTCGCTCGAGCACCTCTTCGTTTAAAGCCTCGTGGGGCGGTATGCATGGCGTCTCGTGTTTGGTCCTGGCAGCGTCGTATTTCGAATGCCCAGGAACGTCCATCAAATAAAACTTCTGTTTGCAACCTGGTAGTTTGAGGTACGAATCGAACTTCCGCTGAAAATGTCCCGATTGGCTCTCTGGCGACAAAGCGAGTTTACCGCAAGGCCCACATGCGCCAGCTTTGCTGGCCCAATAAGCAAGCACACAGCATGTCTTGGATGATATTTGTCCATGCAGTCGTAGATCCACCAACATTTCCGCAAACAAATCACCAGCAGCGGATTGTGACAAGTTTTCTGTTTGCTCATCTGAATCGGAATCGCTCTCCCATTTTAAGCTGTAGTCGTTTTTTTTCCCATGCATGAGTTTGATAATGTTCCCACGCGTGATATGTGCGTGCGCTCATGTATTGAGCCCAAATGGCTACTAGTGCGACGGTATACAACGCAACGCCATGTTCAACGATCACAACTGGTACGATGTTATGTTGTTCGTTTTGTTTTTGTTTTTGAGATGTTTATGTCTGGGCTATATCCGTTGTGCGCCACGCTTTCAGGCGAAATTGCTGGAGCAACTCGTGCGCAACCACGGTGGAGCTCTCGCGTGGGCGGTGGGCCCGAAATTCAAACTCATGCACACGCTCAGAGAACCTCACCACTCACGCAATCTCCACAAACTCCAGGCCAAACCATTGCGAGCGGGGGGTCTGGACAGAGCACGCGGACCACACGCCGAACAGCGTAGTCTTCGCATCGACCACGTAGCGAATCCCACCCTCGATAGGCCACGACTCATCGCCCATGATCAGATACGCTCTCTCCTGGCTCACCTGCTTGCATTTCTGATACAAGATACCGCAAGTAATCGAAGTGGAGCTGGAGTTGAAATTGAGGCAACAATTGTCGCACCTGTGGCAACCGAGCTCGCGGCATGTCTCACACTTGTACCTGCAGCTCTCGTACACGGAGGCACCGATAAAGTGGCACACCTGAGGGGCGATACAAAAAAAACAGAAAAGTGGAGGAGGAGAGGGTACCCTCTCCTCCTCCACTTTTCTGTTTTTTTTTGGAGGGGGCGAGGATGCGTGGTGGGTGGGTGGTGGGTGGTGGGTGGGTGGTGGGTGGGTGGTGGGTGGGTGGTGGGTGGTGGGTGGCGGGTGGTGGGTGGGTGGTGGGTGGGTGGTGGGTTGTGGGTGGTCGGTGGGTGGGGGGTGGGTGGGTGGTGGGTGGGTCTTACTCTTAGATTCTATCCCGATTAACCTGCGAAGGAGGCGGGTGAAAGGGCTGGTAGACGCGACTGCTGTAGTCCAAGCTGGAGTGGACCGTTGTGTTGCTGTCGAAGCCCACGACGTCGTTGGGGAAGTCCTTGATGCGGGTGTTCGCACCAGCCACTGGTGTCAAGGGGAGCTCCGAGAGATCCACGATGAAGTCCTCGAAGCCCTTGCTGAAAATGTCCTTGCACCAGTGCTTGGCATAATCTGCCAGGGCTGCCATCTCCATGTTTGGCAGACGGCCAATCGGGCAGATGAGGCCCTGGTGGGTCGGCCTGCAGGAACTCGGGCATACACTGGCCGACTTGCAGTGCACAAATGTTTCCTTCACGGATTCCACCAAGGACTTGGAAGCACCAGCGACTGCATACCTCACGTTGATGCCATCTCTGATAGCGATCCTGCCTTTTTGGGTTGACAATTGCTGGCTGTAGTACCTCTTGCAACACCTCTTGTGAACAAAACGCTGGCTCTCAGGGTGTCTGCCTAGGCATATGAAGCACGTGCGAAGTTTGGTCATGGACGCTGGTGCGAAACCTTGGTTTCAGAAGAACCTCGAGCCAAAAAAACTGGGGACGGACCAAAATCGGCGAAAACACCGGTTCGAACCGGTTCGAACGCAACCGGCCCCAGGGGTCCCCAGCTTCATGGATTTTCATGTTTTTTTCATTGATGTTTCATGGTTTCAGGTTTTCATGAAATCTGCCCTTTTCTGGTGTTTTTGTATGCAAAATAGAGATTCATGGTTTTTTCATGGTTTTTTCATGGTTTTTTCATGGTTTCCTGGGCCCTGGGGTTTCCTGATTTCCTGGGTTTTTCTTGCCCCGACGTTGGTTTGGCCTCGGGGGGAGGGGGGTTCGAGGGCGCGGGGGCCGTTTGGGGAGTTGGAGACGAGGTGGGGAGGGCTGAGGGTGCTCCAGAGGCCAGAGGAGGAGGAGGGGGAGGGGGTGCAAGGATGGGGATCCCCGAGGGGGAGATCGAGAGGCGTTGAGATGGGCAGTTGAGTTACCACCGCACTTGTTGCTCGACTAAATTGTCAGATCGACATGCATCGTTGATGCGAAGTTGGCGCCCATGATTGACCACGATGCGCTCTGAAATGGCATATGCCGCCCACATCCTCCCCCTCCTCCTCCCAATCGCCCTCCTCCTCCCTCATCCTGGCTGTTTATCCCCGTGCTCCTCCCCCTCCTCCTCCCTCCCTCCCCTCCCTCCTCCTCCTCCTCCTCCTCCTCCTCCTCCTCCTCCTCTCCTCTCCTCCTCCTCCTCCTCCTCCTCCTCCCTCCTCCTCCTCCTCCTCCTCCTCCTCCTCCTCCTCCTCCTCCTCCTCCTCCTCCTCCTCCTCCTCCTCCTCCTCCTCCTCCTCCTCCCTTCTCTTCCTCCTCCTCCTCCTCCTCCTCCTTCTCATTCTCGTCATATTATTCCTTCCTCCTCGAATTCCCGTGCCATTGCACTTCGGGAAGCCGTGGGGCAGCAAGAAGAAACAAACAGCACGCACTATGCACGATGAACCTCGCACTCGGCGCTCAACACTCGGCGATGAACCTCGCACTATGCACGAGAGCGGCACTCGAGATCTGGTGCTTAACACTCGGTCTTGACAGGCTTCAGCTGGGCGTTGGGCTTCGTCTGAGCATCCTTAATCCGATGAAGCTGATCCACGGCCTCACGAAGATTATCAACCTCCGTCTTCATCTCCACGAAATTCTTGCAGTCGACGATCCAGAGGCTCTCGTCCGTCTTGTACTTCTCAAGCTTGGATGCTGCAGCCACACCCTTCGTGAGGATGAACTCCTGGCTGTCAGCCTTCTCGTTCAGAGCGGCAAAGGCCGTCTCCAGCTCCCTGAGCCAAACCGACTCTTTGGCGAACTCCCACTCTGGAGACTTGGCCTGCACCTTGCGCATGGCGTTCATTGCACGGGACAGGACCTCGCTGTACTCGCCCAAGACCGCAGTAGCTTGAGCGTTGAGGGACTTCGGCGCATCGGCCTTCACCTTCTTGCTGGCTCCCCCCTTTAATGTTGGAGCGGGGCGCTTCTTTGAGCCCGAGTCTGGCGTCTCTGTCTGCGGCTCCGTCGTCCCCTTTTTGGCAGTGACCTTCATCTCCACGTATTTGCGCCACTTCTTAGCGAACGTCTCCTTGTGGATCTTCCTGACGTACAACATCTCCACGCGCTCGGTCATGTCGTTGTATCTGATCCATTTGCCCTTCATGAGCATGCACTTCTCCGCGTACTTGAAGGCGGCCTTGATGTTCTCCTGCAGATGGAACCCGCCCTCCTTCTCCACGACACAGGGGAAGGGCAAGTACTCCCCGATCTCGATGTCCTCGACGCTCCAGTCGTGAACTTGGCTGTACTTCTCGACCAATGGTTTGAACTGCTTCTCGGCCCAATCCTTGCGGTACGCAATCTTCTCTGGGTTGGGCTTCTTCTTGAACTCTGTTTTCTCCTCCTTACTCAAACTACTCATCATGTTCTGTGCGACGTTTCCTCTCGGGTCAATCTCGGATTGGGCAAGAGCGAGCTCCAGATCCTTCCCGAACTTGCCTTCGCGGGTGGCTGGCCAGTTGACGCCCTCCTGATCCTCGACATTGGCCATCATGGCGTCGCTAATGGTTTTGGAGAACGCCTTCGACTCCGTCGCGGTCTCTACGATTGCCTGAAGGACACCATCCGTGTCCAGTTTGCCGTCTTCACTCATTTCAGCGTCTTTGATCTTCTGCATGAGAAGCTTGAGATTCTCAAGGGCCTGTGGGCAGATGTCGACATTGTCAGGCTCGTTGCACAGGACGCCCATCGCGAGGTCGAGAGCGCTTTGCAGGAACAAAGGCAGTTGTGAAATTGCCACAAAATTCGAGCCCAAACTGGCTACGGAATGACATGTTTGAGGGGGAGAGCGGTGATCAGGAGGAGATATTGGAGGATGATTTGGTAGTCGGTAGTGACCATCGGGGAGATGCGAATAGTTAAGATGAGTAGGAAGACCGAGTCGGAGTAGGAGTAAGAAAGGCGGAGGAGCACGAACAGGAGCAAGAGCACGGGCAACGTGGGAGTGCGAAAGTCTGCGGGACGCCCTAGCCCCGTTCCCAAGACAAGGCCCCAGGTCAGGACGGATCGAAGCGATTGCAGCGTTGCTGAAGATTTTTCGGAACGGAGAATGCGGAGGAGGATGAGGAGGAGGGAGGGTCGGAGTAGGAGGGTGAGGAGGGAGTGGGATCTCGCCCTCTGTGTTCGGTCAAGGGGCTGGCGGTCTCGAGCTCGCACTGAACGGATCCTACATACAGCTTAGGTGCTCTTCCTGTTTGGAAGCCCAGTCGTGGGCCTCCTCCATCATCGATAGCGGAGGCGCCTCTACTACAGCCCCATCGGTCTCCTCGGGGTCGTCGTCGTCGACGAAAGCGCTGGGCCTCTTCTTGAGATCACGGTTGTCGGCAGCAGCAGCCGCGGGCCTCTTCCTAAGCGGGGCCTTCTCCTCGACGTCGACTTTCTTCGAGTCTGGCACCTGGGCAGACGACGGGGAGCAAGAGTAGGAGTTATTGTTTTTTTACGTAGTGTTTTACGTCGTGTTTTTACGTAGTGATTTACGTATTGTTGTTTGTTATAACGTATTGTGTTTACGTTGTGTTGTTACGTGTTGTTTTACGTGTTGTGTTTCTCACGTTCACTTATTGTTTGTTTCGTATTGTTTTTATTTGTTGCTTTGTCTCAAGGTTAAACTTTATTTTCTCACTGTTGCGAATTACCATTCCTCCTCCTGCTCCCCCCCCCCTCACCCTCGTCCCACTCCTCATCCTCGTCCTTTCTCCTAGGAGCCACGTCCCTAATATTTGATTTGCTATACCGCAATCACCTTGGCGAACAGCTCGTCGCGCTTGGGATACAGGTCGTCCTCCTCGACCTTCTTCGCCACGAACTCCTCGCCGATCGTGATCATCAGCTTCACGGCGTCAAGCCTGTCGTGAAACCAGCCCGCAGGGATCGAGCAGACCTGGCGGCCGTCCAAGTACATCGAAACCTCAGGGGGCGGCATGTCGTCTGGCCCGATCCTTTGCGGTGCACCGCAAAGGATCGGGCCAGACGACGATCGTACCAGTATCGAAGCCACCCCGCGGGGAGTGAAGGGTGCCATTCGACCTGAGCCGATCCAGCAGATGAGCGGCCGTGAGAACAACTAAGACTGGAACTAACAGTCTCCTATCCGCCCTGTACTTGATCTCCACGGAGGAGCCGTCGACATCTGCTGTCCATGGCAGCGTGGGCATGCCGCTGTCCGTGCTGCCTGCAGGTGCCGCCGCTGGCCTCTTCATGGGTGCGGCAGCTTCATCTGTGGCTGCAGGCTTTCGAAGATTGCCGCCCGCTGTACCGTTGTATTCGTCGCAAGTGCAGTCCACAATGGAGTACTCGAACCCGTCATCCCACACAGCAATTATAGGGCCATCTCCATCACCATCAGTTTTATATTGTGTTGCATAATCCTTGTTCTTTGACGGGCGCTTGGGGTCTGAGCGGTAAGCTTTGCGCACCTCTTCCATCCAATCAACTTTCCAATCGTAGTCCTCATCTTCCTCATCGTCCTGCTGCTCTTCACCCTGTAGATCGGACCATAGAGGCCGAACCCAATTCGGGATTGAGGTAGATGTAATTGCTTGCATGATGTGGCGGAACTGGACGAACATCCGTTTCGATTGTGTATCAGACCAGTCCTCGGCATGCTCC